GTCAAAACCCTTGCAAAAGAATATTAGACTCACCAGTTGACGTGTATTGGACGTTTGGCATGATTTGTTTACTTTTGAACTTTGGTAAAAATCAAACATTTCTGCTACTTTGAGCTCAATTTCAAGGTACTTTTCATTGTAAAACCAGTCAAAATCATCTCAATTTCTATGATATGCCTTCCATTCTATAAAATGAGACCAAGAAAACTCGAATACAACAATAAATACCATACGAAAATACAGTGCAAAGTTGCTGTTTTATTCCAAAAAAATGGTCAGTTTTTTTTTTTCTCATTATGCACTGTGTGCAGCAGGATTTTTTTTATACCATGCACACTGACCACATAGACCCATTCTTTCACATGGAGGCCTACCAGCTTTCTCCCACTAGATTTGAGGGCGGTAGAATTTAGGCGTACTAGTACAGTGGTCCCTCGCATTTCGTAGTTCTCGGCAATCGTAAATTTCGCCAATCATAGGGGTATTTTCGTATAAACATGGACTCGCTTTTCATAGGTTGACTCGGAATAGTAGTTCGTCCGGGACGCATACGCACGGTGTGAGCCGGGGTGGCCTCCCTACCCAGCCAGTCTGGCATTGTTTACCAGTGAGTAAAGGCCCCCTTTCAAGTGCTCCTACGAAATATTTCAAAATACTCCACTCATTTTAGTGCTTGCAATTACTAAATAAGCTACCATGGGGGCCCGTGCAACTTTAAAAAGAAAGCTCCTAGGGGCCAAAAGGGCCTTTTTTGGGGTAATAGGGAAGGGGGAAAAAAAAAAATTATATGTAACCCCCAAATGAAAAAAAAGTCTTGGAGCCCATTTTTCGGGATAGTTTTTTTAAGTAACGACACAGAAAAAAAGAGCTTGTCAAAAATTTTTTTTACTTTCAAAGGGGAAAATTGAGTGATTCTTAAGGTTGGTCCTAGGGATTAAAAAAAAAGAGAAGTAACAAAACCCCGAAAGCTTGGTACCTGTAAGGGTTTTTCCCCTGGATGGGATTCCCTTAAATGTTTTAAAACCCAAATTCCACTTTTAAAGTTTCATTACAGACAAGAGAAAAAAACCCAATAAAGGGAAGGTTTTAGCGAAAGCGTTAAAAAAACACCACAAGAAACGAGCCCACAGGTAACAGAAAAAAAAGGTTAAAGAAAGGTGAAAAGGAAGGAAAAGTAACAACATAGGGAACAAGGATCCGCAAACGATTTTTCGGCAAGACTTAAAAGGAACGGTTTAATTAAAATAAAACAAATGAGTGGGACCCTTTTTGACATCAAACAACCACTTGGGCCGTAAGCCTTTAAATTAGTAGTCCGAACCCTCAAAGGAGTTAATGCGCCCAGTTGGGTTTTTTTTTTTTTTTTTTTCAAAACCGGCCGTTCCCACCAAGGCAGGGGGGCCCAAAAAGAAAAAACTTTCACCTTTCATTTCACCCCCCAAAATCACTGTTTTGCAGAGGGTGCTTACACATTAGTTTTAAATCCAACATTAACCCAAAACCCCTCCTTCAAAGTGCAGGCATTGTACTTCCCATTCCAGGACTCAAGTCCGGCCTGCCGGTTTCCCTGAATCCCTTCATAAATTTCCCCTGCTCACACCCCAAAACAGACGTCAGTTAAAACCTTTTGTCTCCATTCACTCCTATCTAACACGCTCTGCAGTTTGCTGGAAGTCCAAGCCCCTGCCACAAAACCTCCTTTACCCCTCCTCCAACCCTTCCAGGCCGACCCCTACCCCCCTTCCTTTTCCCTAAAAGACTGTATATCTTAAGTCATTCTCTTTGTCCATTCTCTCTAATGCCCAAACCACCTCAACAACCCTTCCTTCGCCCTCGGGAAAAGTTTTTAATCCGCACCCCTCCTAATTCCAAACTCAAATTCTCTGCATTTTTACACCACACATTGCCCTTAGACAAGACATCTCCACTGCTCCGCCTCCTCCTGCTGCATATTACCACCCAAGCTTCACACCCATATAAGAGGTTGGTAAAACTATACTTTCATACATTCCCTTTTTTGCCTCCAAGGAAAAGTTTTTGCTCCACAATCCTAAGGGACCACTCACCTTTTTCCCTCATCAATTCTATGATTACCTCATCCTTTTATAAAACCCATCCCCGACACGTCCAACTCCCAATATCTGAAACTTCACCTTTTTCCATACTTCTCCCTCCCCCAAATTTTATATTCCAATTTTTCTACTAAATCTTTTTTTACCTCATACCTTACTCTTTCTTTTCACCTTTAATTTTTTCTTTTCACACCTTCCAAATCATCCACAACTTTGCAATTTTTCTTTAGAATCTCCCAAGCACAGTTCATCAGCAAAAGCACTGTGCAATCCATTTTGAATTGATTCAAATTTTTAACCCACGCCTCTCCAAACCCTCGGCATTTATTCTTTACAACCCCATCTATAATATATTAAAAAAACCAGGTGACATTACACATCCCCTTGTCTAAAACCTTACTTTTACCGGAAAAATTTCCCTCTTTCTCCATTTCCCTAACCTTTAGCCTCACTATCCCCTAAAAACTTCTTACGCATTTAGTATACCACCTATTCCCCCATACCTTGCAACATCTGCCACCCTTGCCCCCCTTCCACCTTCATAGCCTTTTCCAAATCCATAAATGCCAAAAAACCCCTTTTAGCCTTATCTAAATACTGTTTCACTTATATGTTTCAATGTAAACACTTGATCTACACATCCCCTACCCACTCTGAAGCCTCCCTGCTCATCCGCAATTCCTACATTCTGTCTTACCTCTAATTCTTTCAATTATAACCCTACTGTATACTTTTCCTGGTATACTCAGTAAACTTATTCCTCTATAATTTTTACAATCTCTTTTGTCCCCTTTCCCTTTATATAAAGGGACTATACATGCTCTCTGCCAATCCCTAGGTACCTTCCCCTCTTTCATACATTTATTAAACAAAAGTACCAACCACTCCAACACTATATCCCTCCCTGCTTTTAACATTTCTGTCATGATCCCATCAGTTCCAGCTGCTTTGCCCCCTTTCATTCTACGTAATGCCTCACGTATCTCCCCCACATTTACATTCTGTTCTTCTTCACTCCTAAAAGATGGTCGCCGCGAGTATCGTCAATTATTATTGTACAGCGGTGTGCATCAGCCGGCCCAGCCCAGCTGCCAGATGCACGGTCGTAAGTCGAGTGGACATGTCGAGCAGGTCATAAGTCGGATGGTAGGTGTAAAACTATTGTTAATCTTAAAGATAATTATTTTTTGTTAATATTTTTGGGTGTCTGGAACGGATTAATTTTTTTTTTTAACAAGTCGGCCGTCTCCCACCGAGGCAAGGTGACCCAAAAAGAAAGAGAATCCCCAAAAAGAAAATACTTTCATTATCATTCAACACCTTCACCTCACTCACACATAATCAATGTTTTTGCAGAGGTGACCAGAATACAACAGTATAGAAGCATATATAAAGATATATAACATATCCCTTCAAACTGCCAATATCCCAAAACCCTCCTTTAAAGTGCAGGCACTGTACTTCTCATTTCCAGTACTCAAGTCCAGCTATTTAAAAATAACTAGTTTCCCTGAATCCCTTAATTTAATATTACCCTGCTCACACTCCAACACCTTATCAGGTCCCAAATACCATTCACTCCTATCTAACACACTCACGCACGCTGGCTGGAAGTCCAAGCCCCTAACCCACAAAACCTTCTTTACCCCCCAAAAACCTTTTCAAGGACGACCCCTACCCCACCTTCCTTCCCATACAGATTTATATGCTCTCCATGTCATTCTACTTTGATCCATTCTCTCTAAATGACCAAGCCACCTCAACAACCTGTCTTCAGCCCTCTGACTAATACTTTTATTAACTCCACATCTCCTAATTTCCACACTCCGAATTCTCTGCATAATATTCACACCACACACTGTATTTACATTAATTCTTATGGGAAATATTATTTTGGTTTTCGGCCAATTCGGTTTTAGGCCGACCTTGTGGAATGGATTATGGCCAATACCCGAGGGTCCACTGTTTAAATTGTTTTATACAGCCCCATCAACATATAATATGCCAACAGCAATATGATTTTTTCATGGTAACAGATTAATCATTTTCCCTCTCTCTCTCATGGGAAACCTCGTTTGGTATACATCCTGTCTGGTGTAAGTCTAAGGTCCTGGAACAGATTAAGACTGTATACCAAAGTACCACTGTATTTCTTCACAGAGATAGAATGCTGGAATGGGATTCAAGATGTAATAAGTGCTACAATCACTAGAAACTAAACATTCACATGACAAATACTTAAGAAGGAACACCAAGGGTATTATAACATTGCTACTTTCAACCACAAACATGCAATTAACTGCTCTAATCTGAGAATTGTATAAAGAAAAAGCTTCAATTCTTGCCTGCAACACAGTGAACTGGAAGCCAGCTTCAATAAGCCTAGTTCGAATCATCTCCCATGCATCTGCCCTCTTCTCTTTTCGACTTTTAATGAAGTAAGCCTTTGGGTATTCCTTGAGGAGATTTATTAGGAGTCTACTAGACTGGTTATCCCACTGATCTGAAAGAATAGTGCATGGGTTGATAATAGAAACTAATTAATCTAATATCAGCATTCTCTAATATTCAAAATAACCAGTTTCTTCTATTAAATGGATTGGCTACTGCCCTCTTTTCAAGTACGCGTGCACTCACGCAAACACGTGTATGCGCACACAAAATATACATATTATATATATAAATATATATTGGTGGAATGATGATGTAAAGAGAGTAGTATGGGAGAAAAAGTTAGCATAAGAGAAGTTTTTACAAAGTAGAAGTGATGCAAGGAGGGAAGAGTATATGGAGAAAAAGAGAGAGGTTAAGAAAGTGGTGAAGCAATGTAAAAAGAGAGCAAATGAGAGAGTGGGTGAGATGTTATCAACAAATTTTGTTGAAAATAAGAAAAAGTTTTGGAATGAGATTAACAAGTTAAGAAAGCCTAGAGAACAAATGGATTTGTCAGTTAAAAATAGGAGAGGAGAGTTATTAAATGGAGAGTTAGAGGTACTGGGAAGATGGAGGGAATATTTTGAGGAATTGTTAAATGTTGATGAAGATAGGGAAGCTGTGATTTCGTGTATAGGACAAGGAGGAATAACATCTTGTAGGAGTGAGGAAGAGCCAGTTGTGAGTGTGGGGGAAGTTCGTGAGGCAGTAGGTAAAATGAAAGGGGGTAAGGCAGCCGGGATTGATAGGATAAAGATAGAAATGTTAAAAGCAGGTGGGGATATAGTTTTGGAGTGGTTGGTGCAATTATTTAATAAATGTATGGAAGAGGGTAAGGTACCTAGGATTGGCAGAGAGCATGAAATAGTTCCTTTGTATAAAGGCAAAGGGGATAAAAGAGAGTGCAAAAATTATAGGGGGATAAGTCTGTTGAGTGTACCTGGTAAAGTGTATGGTAGAGTTATAATTGAAAGAATTAAGAGTAAGACGGAGAATAGGATAGCAGATGAACAAGGAGGCTTTAGGAAAGGTAGGGGTGTGTGGACCAGGTGTTTACAGTGAAACATATAAGTGAACAGTATTTAGATAAGGCTAAAGAGGTCTTTGTGGCATTTATGGATTTGGAAAAGGCGTATGACAGGGTGGATAGGGGGGTAATGTGGCAGATGTTGCAAGTGTATGGTGTAGGAGGTAGGTTAAAAGAAAGCAGTGAAGAGTTTTTTACGAGGATAGTGAGGCTCAAGTTAGAGTTGTAGGAAAGAGGGAAATTTTTCCCAGTATAAGTAGGCCTTAGACAAGGATGTGTGATGTCACCGTGGTTGTTTAATATATTTATAGATGGGGTTGTAAGAGAAGTAAATGCGAGGGTCTTGGCAAGAGGCGTGGAGTTAAAAGATAAAGAATCGCACACAAAGTGGGAGTTGTCACAGCTGCTCTTTGCTGATGACACTGTGCTCTTGGGAGATTCTGAAGAGAAGCTGCAGAGATTGGTGGATGAATTTGGTAGGGTGTGCAAAAGAAGAAAATTAAGGTGAATACAGGAAAGAGTAAGGTTATGAGGATAACAAAAAGATTAGGTGATGAAAGATTGAATATCAGATTGGAGGGAGAGAGTATGGAGGAGGTGAGCGTATTCAGATATTTGGGAGTGGACATGTCAGCGGATGGGTCTATGAAAGATGAGGTGAATCATAGAATTGATGAGGGAAAAAGAGTGAGTGGTCCACTTAGGAGTCTGTGGAGACAAAGAACTTTGTCCTTGGAGTCAAAGAGGGGAATGTATGAGAGTATAGTTTTACCAACGCTCTTATATGGGTGTGAAGCGTGGGTGATGAATGTTTGCAGCGAGGAGAAGGCTGGAGGCAGTGGAGATGTCATGTCTGAGGGCAATGTGTGGTGTGAATATAATGCAGAGAATTCGTAGTTTGGAAGTTAGGAGAGGTGCGGGATTACCAAAACTGTTGTCCAGAGGGCTGAGGAAGGGTTTTTGAGGTGGTTCGGACATGTAGAGAGAATGGAGCGAAACAGAATGACTTCAAGAGTGTATCAGTCTGCAGTGGAAGGAAGGCGGGGTAGGGGTCGGCCTAGGAAGGGTTGGAGGGAGGGGGTAAAGGAGGTTTTGTGTGCGAGGGGCTGGACTTCCAGCAGGCATGCGTGAGCGTGTTTGATAGGAGTGAATGGAGACAAATGGTTTTTAATACTTGACGTGCTGTTGGAGTGTGAGCAAAGTAACATTTATGAAGGGATTCAGGGAAACCGGCAGGCCAGACTTGAGTCCTGGAGATGGGAAGTACAGTGTCTGCACTCTGAAGGAAGGGTGTTAATGTTGCAGTTTAAAAACTGTAGTGTAAAGCACCCTTCTGGCAAGACAGTGATGGAGTGAATGATGGTGAAAGTTTTTCTTTTTCGGGCCACCCTGCCTTGGTGGGAATCGGCCAGTGTGATAATAATAAAAATAAATATATACAGTGGACCCCCGCATAGCGAACGCCTTGCATAGCGAACAATCCGCATAGCGAACGCTTTGTTTCGCTGAAATTTTGCCCCGCATAGTAGACAAAAACCCGCTCAGCGAACTTCGTCCGAGAAGCGTCCAATGTGGGCCCTCAGCCAGCCTCACATGTGCCGCCCATCCCATTGTTTACCAGCTAGCCTCCGCGGTAACATTCAAGCATACACTCGGAATATTTCGTATTATTACAGTGTTTTCGGTGCTGTTTGTGGAAAATAAGTGACCATGGGCCCCAAGAAAGCTTCTAGTGCCAACCCTACACCTCAAAGGGTAAGAATACCCATTGAAATTAAGAAAGAAATCATTGATAAGTATGAAAGTGGAGTACGTATCACCGACCCTGGTCAGGTTGTACAAGAAACCAAATCAACCATCGCTTCTATTGTGGGCAAGAAAACGGCAATCAAGGAAGCTGTTGTTGCCAAAGGTTTAACTGTGTTTTCGAAACAAAGATCGCAAGTGATGGAAGATGTTGAGAGACTCTTATTGGGGTGTGGATAAATGAAAAACAGCTAGCAGGAGATAGCGTCTCTCAAGCGATCATATGTGAAAAGGCTGGGAAGTTGCATGAACGATTAATTAAAAAAATGCCTGCAACTAGTGATAAATTATAAATTTTAAAGGGCCCAGCAAAGGTTGGTTTGAGAGATTTAAGAAGCGTAGTGGCATCCATAGGTGATACGGCATGGTGAGGCTGCCAGTTCGGACCACAAAGCGGCTGAAAAATATGTGCATGAATTCAAGGAGTACATAGAAACTGAAGGACTGGAACCTGAACAAGTGTTTAATTGTGATGAAACAGCCTGTTCTGGAAGAAAATTGCCAAGCGGGAAACCTACATTACTCAGGAGGAAAAGGCACTCCCAGGACATAAGCCTATGAAAACAGGCTTCTTTGTTGATGTGTGCCAATGCTACTGGTGATTGCAAAGTTAAGCCTTTATTAGTGTATCACTCTGAAACTCCCAGAGCGTTTCAGGAAAAAGAATGTCCTCAAGGATAATTTGGGGTGTTTGGGGGGGCAAACAGTAAGGCATGGTCACTAGGGAATTTTTCTATAACTGGTTACACCATGCATTTGCCCCCAATGTGAAAGATTACCTAACTGAAAAGAAATTAGACCTTAAGTGCCTCCTGGTGTTAGACAATGCCCCGGGTCATCCTACAGACGTGGCAGAGCGACTTTATGGGGACAGAGCTTCTTTAAAGGGTGAATTTTTTGCCTCCTAATACCACTCCTCTCCTGCAGCCCATGGACCAGCAGGTCTTTTTCCAACTTCAAGAAACTGTACACAAAGCTCTGTTTCAAAAGTGCTTTGAAGTGACCACAGACACTGGATTGACTCTAAAAGAGTTTTGGAAGGATCACTTTAATATCCTCAGTTGTGTAAACCTTATAGGTAAGGCTTGGGGGGGAGTGACTAAGAGAACCTTGAACTCTGCTTGGAAGAAAACTGTGGCCAGAATGTGTAGACAAAAGGATTTTGAAGGTTTGAGGCTAACCCTGAGAGGAGTAGTATACCCGTTGAGAATCAATTGTGGAATTTGGGGAAGTCCTGGGGTTGGAGGTTAGTGGGGAGGATGTGGAAGAGTTGGTGGAAAGGGGGACAATGAAGAACTAACCACTGATGAGCTGATAGATCAACTTCAAGAGCAAGGAGGCCAGACCTGGGGAAACTGGTTCAGAGGAGGGGAAGAGAAATTGAAGGAATTTCCTACTTTAAAGATTAAGGAAATGTGTGCAAAATGGCTTGAATGCAAACCTTTTTTGATGAAAAAACACCCTCACACAGCTATTGCAAGCCGTGCTGGTGACTGTTACAATGACACTGCTGTGAACCACTTTAGACAAATCATAAAGGAACGAGAGGTACAGGGCCCCTATGGACAGATATGTTGTGCGAAAGAAGTCCAGTGACTCTGAGCTGGTCCTAGTGGCATTAAAAGAAGAAGGGGAAATAAAACCCCCGAAAAGGACTTGCTACCCCAAGTCCTAATGGAAGGGGATTTCCCCCTTTTAAACACTAACCCCTCTCTCTCCCCTCCTCCCATCCCATCATCATCACCAGATCTTCAATAAAAGTAAGTGTCATGTAATTGTGCACGCCTTTTTCAGTTTGTGTGTATTAAAATTAAACATTTTTTTGTGGTAAAAAAATTTTTTTTTTCATACTTTTGGGCGTCTTGCACGGATTATTTTTTTTTTTCCATTATTTCTTATGGGGAAAATTAATTCGCATAGCGAACATTTCGCATAACGACCACCCCTTGCACGGAATTAAAATTCGCTATTTCGGGGGTCCACTGTAAAAAATATATATATATTATATATATATAAAATATATATATATATATATATTTATATATATATATTATATATTATATATTATATATATATTATATATATATATAAAATATATATATATACAGTGGACCCCCGGTTAACGATATTTTTTCACCCTCCGAAGTATGTTCAGGTGCCATACTGAAAGAATTTGTTCCCATAAGGAATATTGTGAAGTAGATTAGTCCATTTCAGACCCCCAAACATACACGTAC